CTGGAAAATGAGTGGGAAAGGACTATGAAGTGACTAGGGATGGTGGGGAGGGGTGTGGGTTAGTCATGGAGTGGGTATGGGTGGTTGCTTGTGTCATAAACTAAAGAAAAGTCAACACTACCCCTCTAGTACTTCACCCACTCTTCTTGGATAAGATTTATCCCCGAAAAACATGATTAATTAATAAATATGGGGCCTTGTATGTTAAAATAAAGTTTTGGGTGAAAATCCCACATTAAAATGATGAAAAACGGGCCTAAAATGCTAAAAATATTGAAAACCAGGCAAAAATTGTCAATTTCCGAAATTTTGGGCCGGAGGTTCGATCCTAGCTCTTAGAACTGAAAGTAGATGGGGAACCAAGAGTAGGGTTCGGTCTTGGAAGAGGAATCGAGAAAAGGGGAAGGAGAACCGAAGGTGCGAAGGAGGGAAAGGAGTAGGAGGCGAGGCGAGGTTTCGGCTGTGAAGGGTTGTCTCTTGGACCGAAAGGTGCGAAGGGAAGGGCCGAAGGTGAGGCTCGGTCCTAGGCAAGGTTTCGGTTCTCAGGCGAGTTTCATTCCTAATAGGTTTCAGCTCTCATGAGGTTTCGGTCCTAAGAGGTTTCGGTTCTCAGGAGTAGTTTCGAATCTATAAGGCTAGTTTACTTGTTTTTACTCCGTTTTAAGCGGTTTTTAACCCAGTTAAGGGTCAGGATGCCTGAATGATTATAAAAAGTTACGGGAACTTTTGAGAGAGATTTTAAATAGAAAGAGATAGAGTGGAAACGATTAAGAGAGGTTTCATTTGTGACCTTTTTGAGTGTTCGGCTTCGCAACGCAAGGTCCGTAAACCCCGTTAAGCCATGTATAAGGGTCCTACACACTCCCGATGAGTAGGCAACATTGTTTTCTCGGTTTGGTTCATTACTTACCATAGTTTTAGGTTAAGTAAATCCAGATATACGAACTTTTCAATTGATGATTTCTCTTTAAAATAGCGATTTGTACAGTAATTACATAACGTAAACCCTAGTATAAAAAGGTTAAATAAGCTGACCGTTTTGACTTGTTGACCTTGTTTGACTTTGACTTGACCAAAATTTGACAGTTGTCACAGTTTGTACAATCATGCTGGCGCCTTTAAGCGATCCTCGTTGGTACCTGAAACACATATCACATAACACGGTAAGCATAAATGCTTAGTGAGCTTCCCAAAATACTACATACATCAGATAAGCCACTCGAGGCTATAGCTCTACGAGACCTTCCGGTAAATGTTATTAGGGGCCTTCTAGTCCCATAATCTGAGTAGACCTTCTGGTCTTACATCGTTGACCTTCCAGTCCATACCATCTTGACCTTCTGGTCCCTCCACTACTGACCTTCCGGTCCATACCCTGTTGGCCTTCCGACCCATACCATACTACCCAAAACATACATGCCATATACGTATCACATAGAGACATATAACACATACTTTTCATAGCACATAAGACCTTCCGATCGCACATAATTACCTCCGTAGGTAAGGTATAGTGAGAAGACTCACCTCGGGTAACTCGGGTAATCTCGAACTCGAATACTTATCTAGCCTCCGCCTAATCACATAAATAATTTTCGTCTAATTAACAATGGCTCTTACAGGTTAGATTAATCCCCCTCATAATTCCTTAAAAGGGTAAAAGTCCATTTTACCCCTCCCAGACCCAAAAGCCCGAAAGTCAACTCAGTCAACGGTCCAACATCGACCAGACTCGCCGAGTGCACTCGTGGGACTCATCAAGTTCATGCGGATAATCTGAATCCTTCTAAGGCCTCACTCTACTCGTCGAGCTAACCTTTCACTCTATGGGTTTCCACTGATCACGAATCGCGGGGCAACCCGACTCGACTCGTCGAGCCCTCTCTTGGACTCGGCGAGTTTCCTCCATGGCAACTCCCAAATAACCTTTTGAGGTCAGATTTGTTTCTCTAGCTAATAGATCTAACCTTCAAACACTCAAAGGTCACATAAAGGTCCAATCTTTATGCTTATGCAACATTCATATGGCTCTATTTGATGAATTAGCTCTTAATATGACAACCAAGATCCAAAACCCCAAAGGGACTACATAAAGTTAGACGATTGGGACTCTCTGGATCTCTCAAGGTCCAAATCTAAGGTCTATTTCTTATTGGGACATCTCATGCTTCATATTCCAACTCAAGAAAGGGTAAAGAAACCCTGGATTCAATAATCCTACACAATGAAGAAGAAAAGGGTCCAATTGCTACCTCAAAGTGAAGTCTCCTTGCTTGAAAGTCTCAAAACAACAACCTCCTTTGGTCCTTCTTGTTGGATTACTTCTCCTCCTTAGCAAAATCACAACCAATGGCTCAATATCTGTCTCTCTCTCTCACTGCACACGCTCAAATATGCTAGGGTTCTTTCTTCTGGAAGGGTGGCCGCAAATGAAGGCCATAAGGACCCTTAAATAGGGCACAGTCCCAAGGATTTAGGGTTTCTACCAACAGAACGGACTCGTCGAGTCCATTCACCAACTCGTCGAGTCCACTCATTAATCTGAGTCATCATTTGCGATCATACTCGACGAGTTAGGGCATTAACTTGTCGAGTCACTCCTCATATCTCAAAATAAATAATTATATGGTGTACAAAATCTATAGTGGAACACTATACGCATAAACATTTATTTTTAATAAAATAACAAAAATAATAATTATAAATGCATAGTTGACATTTTAGTTGATTACCAATATGGAAATTGAGAGATTTAAAGGAACCCAATTATCTTAATTAAAAAACAATATCCAAATACCAAAATCAACTTTAATTTTTTAGATATCTAAAAAATATTAGTATATGAATCATACCGAAGAATTGGAAAATTCTTCCAATTTATAGAGAATAAGAATATGAACACATTCTTAAAAAATACAAGTTCAATTAAAAGATTATTTTGAAAATTAAGCATTATTAAATCATATGATTGCATTTATATTCTCTATAAAAACAATTTGCACCTAAAGTAAAATATTTTTTATGATTTTTTTTGTAATATGTACTTTTTTTTGTGTAAGATACAAGATTCTTGAAGAAATAAAAAATCTATATTATATATTACATTCTTTAAGAATCTGTTTTTCAAAAACCCTATATTCTATCCGGCTGTTCATCGATTTTCATCACCTCTCATCATGTTCAATTTTCATATGGCCATCAGCAACACTATCTACATTCTTGTTTCCCATGAAATGCATAAAACAACCATCTTAAAATATTGTACCTGCATTCTTTAAGAATATGATATAAAATAAATTCTATAAGAATACTTTCATGTTTTTTGGCTTATTTTATATATTAATGTGCGTGCATTCTTTAAGAATACAAATTAATTATTTTGAAATTAACTTTTGAGGTCAATTTTCTTGGAGATTGATTTACCCGTTTTCCAAGTTAATTAAATTTTCATTCTTAAAGAATAATTGTTCTCATGTTGTCTTTCTTTTTTGATCTATAATTTTTGCTCTGGGTTCTAAAATCAAAATCATAAAATTCAAAATGTCATCGCTCTCTCCGAACCTAAAAAAATTATAATCAACAAAATTTAACTTCAACAATCCACGTAACATTATCATAAAAGATAAATTCAACAAAATTCTTTGAATCCTCCTTATATAATCGATACGATCAGAAGGAAAAGAGCAATCGAAAAAATCATAAGGAAAAAACTAATCACATTTGAAATCAATTTTGTGAAATCAACAAGCAATTAATATCAATTTTGAATCATGGCTTGACAACGTGAAGCAGTTAAGATTATTTGAGATCACAAATATAGTTTAAAAAGGAGATAAAGATATAAAATTTGTAACCCAACCCATGATTTAAGGAAAATATATGACACTCATCTTTGTTTGGTAATATAATTATATGTAAACTTCCAAAATTAATATTTATTTGTTTTATTAATTTTATTAATTTTTATTTGGTTCACATATTCACACAATAATTAAAGTTTATATATATATATATATATATATATATATATATATATATATATATATATATATATATATATATATATATATATATATATATATATATATATATATACCATTTACATTTAAAATGTTGGGCCCCTATTGCTGATTTGTGGACATGCGCCTAACAAGGACCAAGACCAAACTTACACGAATTAGACTATTAAATCTTTCTTTGAAACTGGGATTTTTAAAGATTAATTCTTTTGTCATCTTTCGGCCGGATTGCTAGACAGTTCGAAATAATGGAGGATTGAACAGGTCAAAATACCATATCATAAGATAGAAAAGTAAATACAAACAATTAAACACATTACCCTATATATTATAATAGATTGATTGACTATTTGACTTCATAATATCTTTTGGGTCCTCGATGGCATCAAAAAAAGTACTCTTAGGTTAAGGTATTTGGCCAGTTTAGGCGGCATTTACTTTGTTGAATGGATCATATGGGAATGTATTTAATAGAAAAATAGAATAAAGGATGAGCATATCATGTCAAAACTGTTTTTCACTTTTCTTTTGTTTAAATCAGGTTTAGGAATTATTTTAGGTTTTTTTTTTTTTTTTTTTTTCTTTCTCATAGTAAAAACTAGGGTTACAATTGGTGAGGTTTGGATTCGCAGGTCACAAGTTGTCACGTTGCCAAGTCAAAATATAATCACTTTAATCCAACTCATGTTTGTATTCAGGTTGGAAGGTTTGCGAGTCATTGGTTTACGGGTTAGAAACATCAACTCAACTCAACGAAACTGACATAAAATGTTTAATTATATAGGATTGCGGGTCTATGGGATCCAAAATTTTGATATGGAATTTTAATCAAGATGTGTGATCCAGAATTATGTATTCTGGAATGTGCTCTAAACATGCATACTAAATTTAATAATTAATGATTCTTTTGCTTGTAGAATGACGTAAACATACGAAGAGGTTGTGACTACAACTTGTTGGCATGAACTCGGGCGGGAAATCATGGCCCGGTTACAACACAAACCAATTTCTTCAGTCATTTTTGGTGATTATGTTTCACTTGTTGATGGGTTTGGAATCTCACGCTTTATTTTGTCACTATCTTATGTCCAAGGAATACACTACTTAACCTCAAGTCGGCCTACAGGAGCTTATATACATGGTACATGACTATTGGGTTTGCCTCAAATGGAAATCTTTCTTCCTGATTACTGACTTACAGTTTGGGGAGTATTTCCACACTACTAGAAAACAGACTTTTAATGACACAGTTTATGACACGCACAGATTTACGATACGCGCAAGTGTGTGACGTAAAAATAACGTCATCTCTCCTAAAATTAGTGTCAGAAAATAAAATAAAAATATAGAGGGCGCCTAACATAAAAGTGTGTCATGTGATTGCGTTGCTTTATAATTTTTTAGTGAAACACATGTTTTATGCGGGAAAATGAAATCACAAAAAAATTAACCCCCGCCTATTATCCCAAAAATTAAAACCTCGCCTCTTCTAATTAGCAAGAAAAAGCCCTAGGCACTTCGTCTTATTCGCAGCTTCCTCAATTCCCTGATCCATCACCTCCACCAAAAACCTAATCCTCGGTTCCAAAAATTTCTTACACTCTTAATCGAAATCAGTATAGATCGACCCACTTCACCTCCCCTCTACCCTAATCCATTTAGAACCAGCGACTCCTCATTTTCTCTTAGATTTGAGACTCCTCTTTCATCAGAAATAGGAGGCAGCAAGGTCAATTTTGTGATATTCAAAATTATATCACTCGAATTAAAGGTTGATGATCAGAAATCGAAGGTTGTAAGTCAGATTTGGGATCGAAAGTCAGAGGTTCAAGGTACCATCAGAATGTAGAAAACAAAAACGGAGGAGGCATCAGGTTCGGAGACTGTTCTCTTCTTCTTCATGTATGTGCCCTAGATTTCTTTCTCTTACATTCAAATTTTAAAGATTCTTTTATTTTCTAAATCAGGTACGAATATTGTTCTTTTCTTCTCCATCTGTCTTTGGAATGACGACCTTTCTTGTTAACCTAAAAGGTATTTTCGACTTTTTTTTTTGTTTTGCTAATTAATATTTTATGTTGATTTGTATATTTCGTTATAATGAAATGTTGTATGATGTTTATCTGGTTAAAATCATATCATCATACTTTGAATCATCTATCTCGATAAAGAAACCTAATTGTTCCCCTTTCATTAGGTGGGAAACTTTATCCATTATCTCTTGAGATTTTTGGCTGAATTGGTGGTTGGTTTCGTTTCCGCATGGAAGCTAGCTCTTTATACTGTCGCAGTCATTCCCGGAATCGCATTTGCAGGTGGATTATACGCTTATACTCTTACATGTCTCACTTCCAAAAGCCTTGAATCCTATGCCACTGTTGGCATCATCGCTGAACAGGTAATATGGTAATCTTAAATCTTAGATCTTAATAAATTAATCACTTACTTTATATGATCATATATTAATTGACTATATAATGTTATTAATTAATAGGCTATTGCACAAGTAAGAACAGTGTATTCATATGTGGGAAAAACCAAAGCACTTGATTCATATTCAGATGCAATATAACACACTCTCAATGTGACAACCCGGAACTTCTATCTTGTAAAATTGGTCAGTTCTATCAATGTTAAACTAGATTTTGTCATCTTGTAACACCGTTTAAGGGTTTGTTAAAGTATTATAAGCCTAGTACAATCAAAGTTTGGGTTCTAGGTCGAGTAATTCCAAGTCATAGCACAACATTCGGGTCATACACCCTCTTGGGAGGAGTGTACGGTCATCCACATGGGTTTGCGGCCGCACACTCACCCCATGACCGCATACTTGGGGTGGTGGGTCACCCACGCCTATATATATATGAGGAAACGCCCTATCTTTCACTCTTTTCTTCTTTTGGCTGCACACTACTACTTTCTCTCTCTAGAATCTTCATCCAAGAACCATCCAAAGGCTTCAAAAACGTATGTAATTCATCCCCTAGCTCGTTATACTTGAAAGATCCCTTGATTCTTCATGTTTTCAGCCTTGTTCTTCATCTCTTTGAAGGTGTCTGGCCACACACCTTCATAAGGTTGGCCATACACACCTTAAAGGCTCTCTAAAGTGAGAGTTTGGCCCATATCTTCTAGTTGGATTTGGTATTATCCTTGATGCACCTCAAAATAGACATCTTGGCATGAACATGCAGAGTGTACGACCGCACACCCCTCTGTACGGCCGCACACCCCTTTGTACATCTGCACGCACACCCCTCATTTGACCACTTATGATTCGACACTTAGTTTTAGTGTTTTCGTGCCCTTTAAAGTTTTCCTCTCATGTTTAGTCATGAACTACCCTAATCTAATACATATATGTGCTAATATATGTTAATAGGATCCGTTTGCTTTTGAACCTTCAGTTGACACTCAACAATCATACCGATCTTACACTCGAATCCTACGTCAAACAGTGAGTTCATACCCCTATGCTTTTAAGTTTTTTTTTTAAACGTTTTCAGGGGAATAAAAGCCAAACACAAATGGAGTTTTGTGAACTAAAACAGAAATGTTTTCAACAAGTTAAAACTGATGCAATTGATATGATCTAATGTGTTTTATAAAACATATATACATTTATTCTTTTTCGTATTATGCGGAGCATTAAGGGACGTTTTCTAAACATAATTGCATAGTTTTCAGAACAGTACATATACATAACATATCAGTCAAACTATAATATGTAGAGTTTGGGGGAAATTCATTGCCAGTTTTACAGATTCAAACTACGTACACGATCGAACGTATAAACTACGATAGATTTAGGTTTCTGTGACATCCCCATTTTCACGGCCAGAAAAGACCGATTTTGTTTATGCTTTATAAAAATCAGAGTACCTCTTTTAATAAAAATGTTGCGGAATTTGTTCCCAGTAAAACATGATAAATACGTTATCAAAGCATTTCCGAAGAAAAGTATTTTTAATTCGTTTTAAAACATTTGGGATGTCATCGTCAATACAGAAACATAAGCATAAACAGAACTTACATTTATTTACACTAGTGATCTACATCTCTTTAATCTCTCAGTGTAATGTGACTTCATCTCAACACCTGTAATATAAATAAACTGAGTGGGTCAGGTTGGGAAACCTGGTGAGTACATAGGGTTTTCAACCCACAATAATATAATTATTATGTTTAAACAATCAAACAATCGACCCAATTACCCATCCCCATTATCTTCTTTACTCTTAAGGATCTATCCTAAGAGTCATCTATCCCGCATTCGTTCATTCTGAAGTCCTTTGCTTCCAGAGTTATAGGACTGGCACTAAATCCATAGCTGCCAATGCTCGTTCGTAAAGCACTAATTCCATAGCTGTTGGGTACTAAATCCATAGCTACCAGTGTTTATCTAATAGGTACTAAGTCCATAGCTACCAATTCCTAACAGGTACTAAGTCCATAGCTACCAGTGTTTGTCCAATAGGCACTAAGTCCATAGTTGCCGATGTTATTTGTTAGGCACTAAGTCTATAGCTGCCAATGTTTACTCACATCATCTTTTATCTCTCATCATTCATCTACCCATCTCATACCCAACATACTTGTATATTTAAAATACGTATACAGTTCAAATCATTTAAAACATGTATAAAAAAACGTTCATCCAGCATAGACAAGCAAGTATTCAGATAATATGCACACATAGCACGTAGTTTATATAAAATACTTCATATCTATGTGTAAGATGAAAGTAACTATGCACTCACCTGAGAAGGTGGTGACTCGGTACTCGGACAACGCTTCGTTTACTTTAAAATAATTTCCTTCGACGAAACCTAGTATTATTACCACTAGATTTTAGTCTAATATTTACCGTGACTAATTATTAGTCTTATTATTATTATTATATAAGCGTTTAAACAATACTTTCCAACCACTATGTACAGACAGGGCCAGACATAAAACACCGGAGGGCAGGACCATTTTGGCGTATAGCACTTCTGAAATCCAACAACCCTATGCGGCCCTTTAAACCAGATTCCCCGTACCGCGAGTAGTTAAAAAGATATTATAACGACACTTATATAAGTCATAATAATAGCTCAAATATTTATTATAAATTTATAATAACAATACTAATTTTAAATATAAACTATATTTAAAATAGGGTAAGCATAACTTACTTACAAGGGGATTTTAGCTAGGAGTCGGGCTCTGCAGGGCAGAACTTCGTCGCTGAATCTTTCTAAGAAAGATTCGTGCAGCGCTTCAGCGCTCACCTTACTATACTAAAACTACAGAAAGAGAAGTCGAATCACGAGGGACCGAAATGCTCGGGGGATAAGGAGAGAAAGACTCTTGAATCAAGAGAATGGTGCAAGAAATATGAGAGCCCAAGGCTCTTATTTATACTAATTAAATTTTCAAAAACTACCCTCCATAATTACTTAATGACCTTTTAGTTATATAAACAACTAAACACCCCTTTATAATACTATTTTAAATAGATTTAACGATATTTGTACTAAACTAATGTCGAAAGAACTCAACATTAGTCTTATAATGACCGCATCGTCGATACCTTTCTAATGATATATACATATTGTATATATATATATATATGTGTGTGTGTGTGTGTACGTATATATGATTTATACTTTATTTTAATACGTAAATATGCTATTATAATTTGTAACTCGTTCATACGAACTCCGTTTTTGACGTTATTTATATCCACGCGTAGGTGGAGACGTACTTTACAACTTTCGTTTAGACTCCGTCGGCTAATTTTGACTTTATTTTTAAAGTTATATTTTTAACAGGCCGGACAGGATTGGTCCGTTAAAATCTCATAACTTCTTCATCTGATGTCCATTTTGTTCTGTCTTTTTATCGTTACGCTACTAATAACGAGATCTTCGATTCTCGTTTAGGTTGTGTCGGCTAAAAACCGCTCGATCTAATATTCGAATTTCGGGTTGTACACTGCTAATCCGAAACTTCGAAAAATCATAACTTCCTCATACGAAGTCAGATTTGGGCGTTCTTTTTATGGACGCTTTCGGTTTAACGTATTCTACGACTTTCATTTAGACCGCTACGGCTAAATCTCGCTTTATCATAAATTCACTATTTACGTTTCCCGCTATTGTGTCGGTTCCGTCGCGAAACTTCGACGGGTCATAACTTCTTCGTTATAACTCAGATTTCGGCGGTCTTTATATGTACGGAAACCTTGTAACATATACTACAAATTGGTTAAGATTATTTATGCTAAATAATATTTTGTCGAAAAGGCATTTTCGACACTTATTGCCTTTAAATTGACTTGCCCAGATCTACGGGCGTTACAGTTTCGTTCAAAGCCTATTGGGAAAGAGTCTGTGGGCTACTTAAGCCTTAAGCAAGAAATTAGGGTTTCCTCCACAAAACCCTAACAGCCCACAACTATATAAAGACCCCATCACCTTTGGGTTTTTGGCCAATGCTGGTGTCTAGAGAACCATTACCGAAATTCTTAGGGCATTCCTCCTCTCCCCTTTCATCCTTTTGCTAGTGGTGTTTGTAAGCCATTAGAGGTGTAACATTTGGGGCACTAAGCTTTCAAGAGTCAAAGGATCTTCAAGGTGTTATTTTTATTACTACATAACAAGTAAGGTAAACATTAAAACCCTTTTATTGTATAATTTTCGAATTATATGTGCTGGATCTAGGGTTTTTATTTGGTATTCCATTTACATGTTCAACTAGTGAAAAACTTAGATCCAAAGCAATTAGGGTTGCATGATCAAATAGGATGTATTTATGCTCAAAACCCATCAGTTGATTCATCATTGAGTATGATTGATTGAAGTACTCGAAGTGAAGGCTGAGTATAGAAATTAGTTTTGAAATCGATTAGGAAGTTTGTGGTTCGTATTTGAACAAGAAAAGAACTGATAGAGAAATTAGATTATCTGAGAGATTAGATGAGCCGAATGGAAGGACCAAAGTCGATGTTGTATTTTAATGTTTGGTTGAAATTGAAGACAAATTGTCTAGTCGAAGGTACTAGTTTTCGATGTCAATGAAGAATTTGGTTTGAGTGTTGAAGGAGATTTATTCGACATTGGATAATCGAATGTGACTGAGAATGGCTGATGTTTGATTGGGAAGATACCAATAGCAAAGGTAGAAAGGTCGATTGGATAATAGGTTAATGGAACTTTGATAATGGTTGTTCAGTGTAAATTTGATAATTGAAAGAATGATGCAATTGAAGGAGTGAATATGAGATTTACATATGGACCATTATTTCAATTGGGAAGGTATTTGAATCAAAGGTGTGTGATTTTCGATTTTGATTTTCAAGTATGATGGATTTGTATCGAGAATGGTTGTTCGACTCAACTAAAATTGAATTGGAGATTTTAGTCGAAAAGTGCTTCAGTGATAATCAAAAGCATTGTTTCTATTGTTTGTTGGATTAGTGTCTAAGTCCATAACTATTTTGGTATGTACTTGACCCGATTATGAGCATGGTCCTTTTGGGTTGCCTTCACCATAGCAATATGTAGGATGATTTAAGGAGAGAAAGGT